AGATCTCTCTGTGACTGGCTCAGTGATACATAGCACAGCATCACTTCCCACTTACATTCCTCACATAACAGCTGCAGTCCTCTGTGCCTGGGAAGCTGCGGGGAGCATGGCTGCTGCTTTCCAGGCTTCTCATCTAATGAGAAAGCTGGGTGGGTGGTCATTTTACCACCTGCCAGGCTCCCTGCTACATTACTACAACCCTGCTGGAGGATGTAAGGGACAGTTGAGGAGAAGGGAATCTGGGATGCCTCAGGTCTGTTTATGTATGTACTGTATGGTATATTTACCATAAATACATATATGCCACTGCAATAGGCTCCGCACACCTATGCAGGAGCTCATAGCAACCAGCCAGGTTCAGGTCATTGCACTGCTACTAGTTACTGTACTAGTAACTGTACTACACTTTTTTTTACTATTACATTTACTATCTTAATCTGGCCTGTATACAAGGATGCCATTACTTAACTCAGCCCATGAAAAATGCAATGTGGAGTTACTAGTCTATGTGGTCTGAATACATATTGCTTAATGAAATGCTCCATCTGGCTGTGCTTTTGTTTATAATGTTTCAAGTATTATATATTCTAGCTGTAAAGACATAACAAAAACAAGACTGTTATCATAATCCTGAATAATTTCATACAGTCCATTTTATACTATGCCATAAAAATGCACGCGGACAGCAGCTGTATATTACTATATATAAGGTAAAAGAATCAGGAATGTTTCATAGACTGCTATATACTAGAGATGTAAGTCATGCTATGAAGATAACTCCGTGTGGCAAGTTCAAGAGGGAAGCCAGAAACTACTGCACTAAATTAGGACACAGTATGATAGATTTGTAGAATAGCCTCCCACTGTAAATGGTAGGATCAGTAATTCTCAGTAGTGGAAGGTAACTGACAGTAGGCCATGCTACATTTCATTTTCCCAACTAAGTGAGTTATCTTCCAGATTAACCCATACATTGTGCCAGGTTGTATTTAGAGCTCATGATGCATTGGGCAAATGTGAGGATTTTTCTGTACAGGTTCCAACCCTTGTTTGTTTTGTGAACTCCACAGTTGACTACAAAGTGCTTGGGCAGCATTTGCTATCTGTATCACTCTGCTCCTTGGCAAAAAGGAATAAAAGGAAATGTTTTTATGATTAGTCATGGCGAGTGAATAACACAAACCCTGTATTGTGGGTTATTCTGCAAAGCAGAGGATGACAAACAGAGGATTGGCAATTTACTTGTGATTTAGTAAAACAAGGTAACTATTTTATTATACTCCAAACAAAGTGATTGAAGCCTGCTCCTCTTCACCCTCAAACTTGTATTCAACAATGCAGTGCCGTACACAGTCCCATAGCCTCTCTGCTTCTTCTACCTCCCACCTCTAACATGTTTCACCCATATGGGCTTACTCATTTAAAGGATAGTGCATGTTCTTCCAATGAACCTGTAGGTTGCCAAGAGAATACCATCACCAACAAATTATTGAGCAGAGCTATATATCAGGGGGGAAAGGAATCTATATGTGCCACCACGGCTTTAGCAGGGGAAAGACAGCTGGGTGCTCGCCAGCAGGTGTGTGCCCTTACTCCAGCTGAACAGGTATATAGTAAAGGAAGAATCTGCGCCGTACTCTATTCCACACTGAATCAGTTTTTTGAAAAGGAAAAATCTGGCAGCACTCCGTTCTACACTGAATCAATGTATTGAATCAACTGTATCAATCCTGGGCTTAGTCACAGAGATGACTTAGACTAAGCCCAGGATTGTGTTAAACATATCAGAGGGGGTGGACCTTGGGCATGACTTAGGGGTCTATTCACAAAGCTGCCGACGGGCAGCCGAGTGAATGACCGATCAGAAGTGAAGTGAGCCGAACACCGTTCGGCTATTCACTTCAGGCTGGTACGGCTGATTTCAGCCGTATATCGGCTGAAATCAGCCGTACATCGGCTTGCTTCGTGTGGCTTCGGATCAGCCGAACATGCTCAGCATGTTCGGCTGACCCGAAGTGCAGAAGGAGTTCGACTCAGCCGATCCAACATCTGGATCGGCTGAGCCGAACCTCCGGCAGGCTTCACACTGCTGTTCGGGCTATTCTGAAAGATCCCGAACAGCAGTGAGAGAATAGCCGAATGCCGCCGAGCGGCATTTGGCTCGGCTGTTCTGCTCGGTCCCTCAGAGGCACCGAGCAGAACAGAAAAAGAGTGAAAAAAGTAGAAAAAAGTAAATAGAAAACGATTGTGCAGAGCTAGCAGTGACAGCTAGCTCCGCCCAATAGTTTCCTATTGTCCGGCGGCTCTGCTGCTGTAAAAAAAAAAAAGTTAAAAAAAAGTAAAAACTCTCCCTGGGGCCCCGGGAGCCCCCCGCTCCCGGCCGCCAAGGAGAGAAACACAGCTGTGTCTTTTTTTCTTCATTCTGGCACGAGCGATGTCAGAATAGAGAAAAAAAAAAATTCCCATTCAAAAGCATTGAGAGTTTACTATTGGCTATTTCAATTTGCAATAGCCAATAGTAAACTAGCATTGTTCCCGCCCTCTGCTGGTGGACCTGGTGGGGAACTGCAAAAGAGGGCGGGTACAATGCTAGTTTACTATTGGCTATTGCAATAGAAATAGCCAATAGTAATGTCCCAATGCTTTTGAATGGGACTTTTTTTTCTTTTTCTCTATTCTGACATCGCTCCGTGTCAGAATAAAGACATTTTATCTGTATATTTAGCTGTTTGTCAGTAGTTCAGCTTTAATAAAATGCCTCCTTCATGAAAAATACCTTTCATTTTTTTTTTAACGTTATAAATAAAAAAACATTACAAGCTTTGTTGCAACCAGCTGGCTGTTCTTTCTTATTTCAATGGTTCTGTAAATGAAGGCTATTAAATCAATTACATTGGTGTACATAGGGTGCTAATGACTTCATTCTCGGTCTCTTGCTGAAGTCACATGAGTAATGTCTTCACATAAACTGGTGTGACTTGCTTTTTAAATGATAAAATACATTGAACCATTTAAATCACAACATGACAGCATTTTATATCTGAATTAAAAAAAAAGTCTTTAGAGAATCCACAGAAGTCCATTGTGTCTGGAAATATGAGTTTTTTTAAGCATTTTTAGTGTTTTGCCTGTTGATCATGTCTGAAATTCAGAGGTAAGGAGGTCACCAGACTCACCACACACAGCACATCGAGGTCCACATTATTAATCAGCCCTTTATTGACGTTAGATAAACATGCATGCCATCACAAAAGATGACAACGCTTCAGAACCAGTGTGGTCCCTTCGTCAGGCAAAACATTGAGTTCTGTCAATAAAGGACCGATTGATAATGTGGATCCTGGTTTGCTGGTGACCTAATTACCTCTATTGTCTTTGTGGCACAATCCGATGGCCATTTCAGCACCCACTGCAGTGGCAAGAAGAGATACATCGGTCTGAAGTGTGATAAGATATCTATAAAGTGACATTTAACTCAGGAGTTAAATCTTTAAAATGCATTCAAGGACCCTATTAACAAAAATGTATCTTATTTGTGCATCACTTGGCTGTAGATCCTCAAATCATCTCTGAATTGGTGCTGACACTGTCCTTCCTTCTGGAGGGTGGCTATGTGTGTTCCCCATGCTCCCTGTGTGTGTTGTAATGTAGCTACCACCCCAAGATCACTCTTGTGATGGACTATAATCTCACGCTTACAAATTTGTATTGAGATTGTAGTCCATCTTGTGAGCGATCTTGGAGTGGTGGCTACTTTACAACACACACAGGGACCAATTCAGAGATGATTTGAGGATCTACAGCTGAGTGATGCACAAATAAGCTAAATTTTTGTTAATAGTTAAAGGAGAACTGATTTTCACTCAACCTCATAGTTCAAGCCGACGTGTGACAATGAAACTGTCAAATGTCGCCTCTATAGATCGGGAAGTGAGAGAATGCATACCGTCGCTCAATCACTTCCTGATCATCTCTCTGCAGAGAGCGGTGACTACCAGTCACTGCTCCCCGCAGGGATTCCCCCCTCCCCTCTCAGATCCTCCAGCGCTGAGTGGAGGAACGGATGGGGAAGGGGGTGGGTACAGCTGGCTCTGCCTCTAGATAGGCAGAGCCCACGGTCACTCACGCAGCTGGGTAGATCTCGACATCATTGTCGGGATCCATCCCGGCTGCTGCACTCTCGATATATAGCGAGCTGTAGCTCGCTATATCCTGAGCTTTGGGTCACGGGAGGACGCTAGTATATGTCCTCCCTTGACCCATAAGAGAACTGTGGGATAAAAAGGTTACCCCATAGTTCTATTTTAAGGCACCTGAATGTATCTTTAAGATTTAACTCCTGAGAGTAAATAGCCCTGCCAGTCCTCATCTTGAGACTACAGAATAATTCTAATTTATGTTGTTTAGATGGGAGAGTGGCGGGTCGGAGCAGTTTGGCACCAGAAAACTGGGCAGGGCTGACTACTCAGTATACAAATATGGTTTGTATTGTCAGCCCACAACAGGACCTAGAGGCTCAGTGCATGTATGACAGTTTTTTTTAGTATTTACGAGGTCTTAAAACACAGGGAAATGCTTGTGTATTGCAGAGATGTAATGCACATGTTTTTTTTTGCCCTGACATACAGTTTAATAAAGGCATTTTTTGTTTCAGTGACCAGCAACAGTGATCCTTTGTTAGCAAGCATGTCAGCCATGTAGCACTGTTCATCTTATCAGGGCCCATTTTCCATGAGGTGGCATGTGAAGTAATGCACCTTAAATAATACATTGTCTTCCCTAATAGAGATCTGAGGTAACGTCTGCTAGTTTCATTTAATTTCAAAGATGTACAGCATGTAACAGACTTCTGTGTCTGGAAATGGGTATTGTAGCCAGGCTTTGGACAAGCAGCAGGAAAATTTCTCTGCTTTCTATACATGCGGGATCATTTTTTGTTAAAGCAGGCTTACAGACAGTAAGAGAATGTGATAAATAATGTATTGTCTTTTGTCTTGCAGGAGCACTGGAGGGAGAGGCACAATCAGATCAGCTGTGGAAAGCTTACATAGCAAATCTAATAGGTTTGTAAATGAGATTTCTTTTTGTTCATTTGTTTTGGCTGTGAGGCAGCTATTAATCTGCTGTGGTCTGAAATGGTGATGTTTGCCACTATAGGAATAGTTATCACTCAGTCCAATTCTCTCCCTGTCTAGGCTCCTCTTCACAGCAACTTAATTTCACATTGGAGGAGTTGAGGCAACAGGCAGATAAAAGGACAGACTGTTGGTTCATTTTATTTTGCAACTCTTTGTCTGCTCTGCATTTTTCAAATATGTAATTGTTCTGATATTTTTAGATGACTGTATATCATGGAAAGCAATGATCGTGCACCTCCCTGCCATTTAAAAAGGAACCCATCACAACAGGGGCGTAACTAGAAGTCACAGGGCCCCATAGTAAAATTTTGTATGGGGCCCTGTGACTTCTACTTATGCCCCTTGCAGAGCCCACTTGAGATCCCACGCAGCCCACCTGAGGGTGACCCTGCAAAGCCCACCATAGACTATCTATGGTGGGCTCTGCAGGGTCACCCTCAGGTGTGTTGGTCACACTCCTTACCTGTCCGCCTCCTCTTCCTGCACGATCGCTGATGGGCCCCACCTCCTCCTCCTCCGTCACCTGGTCCGCCTCCTTCTCCGTCACCGAGCCCCTACTCCTCCTCTGCTGCCGACCACGGGCCCCTCCTCCACTGCCGGGTCCAGCCTGCTCCACCGCTGCTGCTGGCCCTCATTAACTCCGCAGCGGCTGTGAGAAGAATGCACTGCTGCACAGATCACAGTCAGTGATCTGAACAGCAGCGCATTCTTCTCACAGCTGCCAGTGAAAGCCACCAGCATAAGATGCCATAGCACGTCATCTGTCCGGGCGCCCCGGGCCCCATAGCGGCCACCTGGGTCGCTATGGCGATTGTTACGCCACTGCATCACAATTGATCTTATATAAATATCAAAACATTTAGGGGGTTATTCACAAAGCTGCCGAAGGCAGCCGAGTGAATAACCGAGTCGAAGTGAAGTGAGCCAAACAACGGTCCGCTATTTACTCCGGCTCAGCACGGCTAATTTCAGCCATACGTCGGCTGAAATCAGCCGTTATTCGGTGCCTTCAGCCGATCCAACATCTGGATTCTCTGAGCCAAAGCTCCAGCAGCTCACTCGCTGCAGTTCGCACTCACTTCCTATTTACGTAAGGGCCGAACGGCAGTGGGTGAATAGCCGAATGCCGCCAAGCAGCATTCGGCTCGGCTACTCTGCTCAGTACCTTTGTGGTACTGAGCAGAATAGCAAATAGTGGAAAAAGTAGAGTAAAAAAAAGGTTAAATAAATATTTGTAAAAATGTAAATAAATATTACATTAAAAAAAGATATATTTTCTAAAAAATTAAAACATTTTAGGGGGGACGTGAGGCCCTAAAATTCCTACCAGACCCTTGATCCGAGCACAGGCCTGGCAAGGCAGGAAAGGGGGGACGATCGAGAGCCCCCCCCCCTCCCTGCGCCTTACCATGCCACGTTTTTCCCCCATTTTTTGGGGTGGGGTTCCCCTTTAACATTCCTATCCGACCTAAAGGGCCTGGTATGGATTTTGGGGGGAACTTTTTTTAGTTTCACTTGGGGGGTCCCTCCTAACATTTCTACTAGACCTAAAGGGTCTGGTATCAATTTGGGGGGCAATATCTGTAAAAAAAATAGGTCAAGGCAACTGGACTTGCTGTATTTTTCTTGAAGACGTTTCACTGGTCATCCAACTAGCTTTCTCAATTCAGAATGACTTGTACAAAAAATTATTTAGGAATAAATATGGTGAATGTCACTCCAATCCACATAATCTGTCAAAGCCCAAGTGTTGATTGCATTTGCATAATTGGAGTCTAGGAGGTATTATTAACCTGCCCAGAGAGAGGTGTTAAAACAGCATTGTATGTGGCAGACAATACATGTCTCACCTCCCCAACTCTATTCAAGCTTGGCTTCTCCATTTTTACATAAATGGCCTCTTTCACGCCTCTTTTAAACCAGTCCTCCTCCCTGTCTAGGATTCGTATTTGACTCTCTACAAAGGAGTGACCTTTTTCCTTTAGATGTAGGTATACTGCTGAATCCTGGCCAGAGGGTTTTGCTCTTCTATGCTATGCCATACGCTCAGTGGTGTATTCTGGTTTGGGGCTGCCCTAGGCAAGACAAAACTCGGCGCCCCCCCCACCCCCCCACTAAATTTACCCCACCCGACTGTAGTCTCAAGTGGGCTCTGCAGGGTTTGTGGTGGGCTTTGCAGGCTGCAGAGCCCCCTATGGATTCTGCAAAGCCCACCACAGATCTTTCAAAGCCCCCTGAGACCTGGCAAAACCCCCACAGATGGGGGCTGCAGGATCTCAGGAAGGCTCTGCAGGATCTGTGGTGGACTTTGCAGGCTGCAGAGCAAACTATGGATCCTGCAAAGCCCTCCTGAGACCCGACAAAGCCCCCTACAGATCCTGCAGAGCCAACCAAAGGGTATTGCACAGCACACCTGAGACTCTATGGTGGGCTGTGCAGAATCTATGCTGGGCTCTGACAGCACAGTCCTCTTACCTTGCACGGCCTGACCTCTGTGGAACACGGCCTCCTTGTCCTCGGCGCCCGACTGGACGGCCTCCTCATCCTCGGTGTCCAACACGGCCTCCTTATCATCTTCGCTGCCCAACTGGAGCTCTGGCGCCGTCTCTGCCCCCTGCCTCCTCCATCTTCGCCCTCGCCTCTTCCGTCTCTGGGGCCACTGGACAAATTTTCTTCTATCATGGGGGCCGCTTGCCAAATTTCATACTATAAAATAAAATGTAACTGTAACTGTACCGGTATGGTACTACAGACACCAATATACACACAATAAGGCCCTATTCATATCTGTAGGTTTAGGTGTGATTAGGGATTCCTGCATCAGAAACTTGCGTTTTCCTGCAGCAGAAATCCCTAATATGGTGTTTACTCGCAGTAGCTATCACCAATTCAAGTTAATGATCAGGTGACAGCAGCTCCATGTAAACGCCTGCACACCGCATCATACATCATACAAATGATACGTGATATGATTACATGCGGTTAGAAAACACCCTCCCTGAACGCACAATCATTGCGTCCACGGAGAGTGATTGATTCCTAACCAAATGTAAACATATCACGTATCATTACATGCGGTGTGCAGGCATTTACATGGAGCTGCTGTCACCTGATCATTAACTTAGGTGACAGCTGCCACTTGTAAATGCCAATTTAGGGATGCTGCAGGAAACCGCAAGTTCGTGACACAGAGATCCCTAATTGCACCCAAAATAAAGGTGTGAATGTAGCCTAATACCCCCCCGGAAAGGACCCGAGTGCCGGCACAGACTCAGCTACACGGTCTGTATCCGACAGAGATGACTTCTGACCTGGCTGCGGGCCACAAAGTAACGGCTCGCGGGTCGCAAGTGGTCCGCGGACCGGTACATTGAGACCCCGGCATTTTTGGTGCTTCCTTTGAATCGGCCGCCTGAGGCAAACACCTTGTTTGCCTCGCAGCAGACATGCCCCTGCATACGCTGGTGTAGCTGTTGTTTTGTTTCACTGACATACAATTCTGAGCTATCCTCACTGCACTGGACTGCATGCACAATGTTGTTCATCTTGTGTTTTGGCGTTGGGTCTTTTGGGTGAACCAGTTGTTGCCTTACTGTACTGCTGGGTGAAAAGCAGACAGGGATGTGAGGTTTTTTAAAAACCCTTCTGAGTTTCTCAGACACCCAAGCTACATATGGGATGACCAAATTCTTTAGTTTTTCATGCTTTTCACTCTAGGTGCTTCCTTTGAATCGGCCGCCTGAGGCAAACACCTTGTTTGCCTCGCAGCAGACATGCCCCTGCATACGCTGGTGTAGCTGTTGTTTTGTTTCACTGACATACAATTCTGAGCTATCCTCACTGCACTGGACTGCATGCACAATGTTGTTCATCTTGTGTTTTGGCGTTGGGTCTTTTGGGTGAACCAGTTGTTGCCTTACTGTACTGCTGGGTGAAAAGCAGACAGGGATGTGAGGTTTTTTAAAAACCCTTCTGAGTTTCTCAGACACCCAAGCTACATATGGGATGACCAAATTCTTTAGTTTTTCATGCTTTTCACTCTCACTGGTACTCTTGGCATTCTTACCTTTTCTTTCTGTTTTGACAAAAGCCCAGTCTGGGTACCCGCAAGTTTTAAGGACCCCCCTGAGGTGTTTGAATTCCATTGTCTTGGCCTCTGTTCTGGTGGGAATTTTCTCTGCCTGGTGGTGACCCCTGATGACTCCTAAATTGTGGTCTAGAGGGTGGTGGGAGTCAAATAGCAGGTACTGGTCAGTGTGTGTTGGTTTTTAGTAGACCTCTATTTCCAGCCTCCTTCCCTCTTATACTGTTACTAAACAGTCCAAGAAAGCCAGTTTGTTGTTTTGCTTATCTTCCCGCGTAAACTTGATGTTATGATCCACTGAGTTGATATGGTCAGTGAAAGCCTGTAACTCTTGTTTGTGAATCATAACCCTAGTGTCATCCACATATGTGAAGCAACGACTGGGTGTAATTCCCTTGAAGGTGGTCAGGGCCTTGCTTTCTACTTCCTCCATGTAAGGCGGCTCAGTCGAGCCGCAGGCATAAGCCTCAGCTCGACTGAGCCGAGGTAAAAGGCGAAGCTGGCCGAACGGCCGGCCATTAGCCGGCCGACAGCCTGCTTCTGACAGCTGAGCGGAGCCAGCCGTGATCTTACGGCTGGCTCCGGCCACTTGCAGAGAGATCAGCGTCCCTGGTTACCAGCTAACCAGGGACACCGATCTCCAGAAAGCCCAACTCTTCCGGGTGCTCCGGGAGTCTCCCGCTCCCGGCCGCCCAGGAGAGAAACACTTTCTCCAAGAAAGGTTTACTCTGCTCGCGAGAGGGACCGAGCAGAACAGCCGAGCCGAATGCCACTCAGCGGCATTCGGCTATTTACTCACTGCTGTTCGGCATCTATGAGAATAGACCGAACAGCAGCGAGT